AGTGCCTTGATTCTGATTCTGATTCTGATTGTTGATTGTTGATTTTATGTCACCAAGACGAACCGAACCTAGTGCCAGTTCAGGGTCGGTTCAACGTGAGGACTTTCTAGGAACCGGTTTGCTTTTCCACAGGCTCGAGAGCCTCCGTAGAGCCACGTCATTGTGTCGCTGTGTACGTCTCCAGCGTTGGCTTTCGTTACCAAGGTTACACTAGCTCAACTAACATTACTTAAGCAAGCATAGCTACTAAATTTTAACACCAATGTTTCTAATCTTGAATGTAAACATTGAAGTTACAAACAAAACAGTGATTTAGTAATTGAGTAATGTTAGTTGACCAACAGCTAGCCATCTAGATAATGTTAGGTTGGTAAGCTCTATGCCCTAAACAGCTAATCAATACATGGCCACACGGTGCTCACAGCCTCTGTTGGAAGCGGTTCTTGGTTCTAGACCAGCAACATGTCGGTGCCGCACTGGAACCAGTTTCCCCGGCCGAGAGCTGCTTCTGTGGTCGTCAAAACACAAAGAACCTGTTGGAGATGAGACCCCAGCTCCGAACCAGCCCTCGATCTGCTTTGGTGGAAAATGTTTAACGGTGTTTTTGTGTGTTTCAGGTCAGGAACTGTGTGTTTAGACGTCATTAACCAGACATGGACCGCTCTCTACGGTAGGTCGCAGCTGTCTGTGTGTGTCAGCTTCACCGGTAACTCGGATAAACTCACTGACAGTAATAGTCAATAAAATAAACACACACACACACACACACACACAAAGCAAGCAGCTTATTCTTCAGTGCAGCTTCGGGCGGAGCATCTCGGTTTAATCGGCTTACATTTTAGTGATAACTGCTGCTTGTATTGAGGTCATGCATTGAGCGCTGATAGATAAGAAGGTGCTGAGGCTGCGGTGAACTCGCTCACCTGGAGGGTTTGTTTCTGTTGTTTAAGTGATCATTAATAGGCTCCAGATTCAGGGTTCACACTTCTGTCTGAGAGGCTTTATGTGCAACAGATGTGTTAACTCGTAGTTCCTTTGATCAAGTTGTCTGACTGATAGTTATCTCAACATTACGTCACTGTATTCAAAGACAGTTGGTATACCTTCTGGTCTTAAAGAAAAAGGGTGTATTTCTTTTAAAATATAAAATCTTAGATCGGGGTCTTAGATTGTGTCAGCTGAGAGAAGTTTATTTGTTGTTCAGATAGCTTTTGATCCACAGCTTTGTTTGTTTTTAGACATGGTTACATGTAAACACCCTGATAAGTATTTGTGTGTTCTGCGGGGGCGGTGTGACACTGGTGTGATGAGCAGTTAGCACTGATGCTAATCTTAGAAATGACTAACGGTTTGAACCTTGAGTGAAGTAGCATTGTGATTTTGTTGAGGTGTTACTGAAACCTAAACAACATCACTGAGTATAGCGAGTTTCAATATGTAATCAGTGTTTATGTCTTAAAACATCCCGTACTTGTTTAATTATGTATGTAGAAGTTGTTTTGGGCTGACAGACCCAAAAGAGGTCGTCCTCAACTGCAGCTGACGGCATATCCAGACGCTCAGAATGGTTTTAAAATCCCCAGAATGCCTCTGAAGACACTGATAAACAGATAATAATCAATAATCAGCATGGTTCTCAGCCTTACTCCCTTACTTTACAGTTGATTATAGATTGACGGCCATTTCAAATAGTTATTTAATGATCACTGGTAGTTGCATTATTGATCAGTGCAGCTGTAAACACAGGCTGCTTGTGCTGTACGTGCACAAAGGCGTCATGAAGCAAGTTTATTTTCTTTGATTTATACGCAGTATTAGAACAATTGTTGGTTTCTGAGCACAACCACAATGCAGGTAACCTACGTTCAGTACTCAGCACCCTGTGTAGACGTTAGATGTTAATCTGTTCCTGTTTACAGTTTAACTCTCTTCAGAGGTAAAGTGCCTGACCAGGAAACAGTACAACCATACAGCTGTTTGAATTCAACATTTCATTACAAGAGAGCCCTCTAGTGGCTCATGTCGTAGCTACACGTTATGAAATGACTCAGATATTTCTCTGTTGTTCAATGTTGCTGACTAATCTTCCTCCACACTTCCACCAGATCTCACCAACATCTTTGAGTCGTTCCTCCCTCAGCTGCTCGCCTACCCAAACCCCATCGATCCTCTGAACGGGGACGCAGCTGCCATGTACCTGCACCGGCCGGAGGATTATAAACACAAGATCAAAGGTGATTGAGCAAAGAGCCACTGTAGTTATTTAAGCCAAAAGGATTCAACAAACAGTCCAAATATCCTCAGAAGACAGAAGTCAGACATGAAACTTCAAAATACAGTCTGTATTTCCAATAGACGCCATGACAAGTCAAACACAGAACAGACAACATTAGTATTAATAATGCAGAAGGCATATGTGCATGTGAGATATTAGTTAGTTTTTACTCCT